TCCGGCGTATGCCGCATTAGTTGGCAGCTCGCTTTCGGAGGAATGTTGACCCCGTTATTAATAAACCCTCCCTTATTATACCGGTCCGGGTGACCCCCCCAAATACTAAACAATTCATAACTCAGAAAATACCACCCAAATAAGAAAGGGATCTAAAAAACCCTCCCCAATTAACCGGTCCCTCCCCCAGATGGCTGCTGCTATCTCATTTTCTCCACTGCTGCCTGAGCTCATTACAATGTAAACGGTTTATTGGTGCTAGCTGATGCTGCTGATGTTGAATATTGTGGGCCCATGCTGCTTGCCATGTTTTTTTGGAATGGTGTCCTGAAAAGGTGCTTTGGCTCAAATGGGCTCATGCTTTCTTTTGATACCTTTCTCTTCATGCTGCTGCCTTGCTCCGGGCTCTCATCTCCACCTCCTACTCTCATCTCGAAGCTTGGTGGATGCTTTTGGGCCTGCCCAACCACAAACAAAAAGTGTTCTGAGATGGTTGATTTCTTATTAAATCCTTTACTAAAAAATTAAGTTTAGAAAGTTTCGAAGGGTACCTTTACTAAAAAATCAAGTTTAGAAGGTTTCGAAGGGTACCCCACATTGGCCCCAAACACCCCCAATTAATAACCCCCCCCCTTATTAGTGCGGTCCATCGGCCCCACCCCCCAAAAAAAGACAACCAGGCCTTCTCAATGGAAACTCAATTCCAGATCTCAAAGGAAGCCCCAGCAATACTAAATCAAATGGAAACTCAATTCCAGATCTCAAAAAGGAAGCCCCAACAATACTGAATCAAATGGAAACTCAATTCCAGATCTCAAAAAGGAATCTCCAGCAATACAAAATCAAATGAAAACTCAATTCCAGTTCTCAAAAGGAAGCTCCAGCAATACTAAATCAACTGGAAACTCAATTCCAATCTCAAAAAGGAAGCTCCAGCAATAATAAATCAAATGGAAACTCAATTCCAGATCTCAAAAGGAAGCTCCAGCAATACTAAATCAACTGGAAACTCAATTCCAGATCTCAAAAGGAAGCTCCAGCAATACTAAATCAAATGGAAACTCAGTTCCAGATTGTTTGGGGGGGAGCCAAAAACCCTTCAAAATGTACCTTCTGACCTTCAGGGGGGGGGGGGGTTACAGACTAATACGGGGTCAACATTAGCTGCCGCTTCCAGCCTTGTCACGGTAGGACTGCGCCGCCTTGCCTTTCTTGTTCTTCTTCTTGACTTCGCGCTGCCGGGTGCTCACCGCCACCTACGCGCATCTGCGATAAGCCAAGCACAGTGCTCGGCTTTGCCGTCACTTCACACCCGAGGTCAGCAAAATCAGGTTAAGCCCTGCTAACAAGCAACAGCTATAATAATACCACCCATCGATCTTCACAAAGCCAGCTCACAGTACAAAAGAGGTCGTCTGACTGGCCATTCAGTCGATGAAATCAAGGATCGGGTGCCCCAGCCTGCTCTTCCTCATCCTCTTCCATGGGCTGGGGCATGTTGGCCGGCTGCTCCCCAGAGAGGCCCGCCTTGGATCAGCTTGGAGCTTCGGCCAGGGCACGGGCAACAAACTGACGCATGACAGTCGCTTGCGTTCGCCCCTACGCATCCCTGGCTGTGAAACCATGGGGTGTCAACACGATGTGTGTTGCCCGGTGAGCGGCTTCCTTTTAGATTTCACGTCAACCCAATTCCCAGCTGCATTGTTTTGGATCGACATGGCATCACATGGCACTGGTTGCGGGCAAGGCCGCATAGATGACCAGGAAGTGCTTCTTGGCCTTCGCAGAGTGCGGGTAGTCCTTGGCTGCTTCCACGTTTAACTCCCACCTTCCGAGGCCCCCATGTAGCAACGGGAAACATGAGATGATGCTGAGGGTTTATCAGTTGATCCGTCCATCATACCCCCTGCCTCAGAAAAGGAGAGTGATGGTTCATTGTTGGTCGCTGCCTGGCTTGGCCTGCAGCCTCCAGCCCCCATCCTCTCCCCAAAGCGTAAGCCGACCTCCCCAGCCAGGCAGCTACCACCAGGCCGCCTCCAAAGCCGCATCTCCTGGGCGGCTGGGTGAGTTTTGTCAAGGAAACCTGCCAGTTGAGAAGCACCAGTGCCGCCATGAAGCAGCGCCGCTGCCGTAATCATCTCGACCTGTCCAACTCGCCCCTGTTGAAATGAAGGGTTCGGAACTCGACACTTGGAGAGCCCGAAAGTGCCAAGAGCGCCCAGACAGGCTGAAACGCCCACTGCCCTCATGTCAGACCACCTGCGAAGTAGAACAAGGGGATGATTAAGTCTCCGCCCACGGCAACGATCAAAAGAGCGGGCCATGAAGACAAGAGTGCCCCAGAACAACCTCCCCAACCCCAACCCACTCCCGTCCCCCACAACGGCGCCTGCGCCGCGGTCTCTGGGTAAAACTGCAAGGCCGCACGGGCGCCCTTTCGCAGGCAGCCTCAGGGAGCTGAAGCTGCGCTTGCCGAGGCGGACACCAGCTGAAGCGGAGACAGAAAACCTAACCAAAGGTAGCAACCGGTTTTTGCATCCCTGCTGATATTTGGGGAGTGGCCATGGTTCATGATGTTCATGGGTTCGGGAGTTTCATGGGTCTTCACGCTGGGCTGTTTCGTAGAACTGGCAGGCACCAATTGCGGCCAAGCTGCTGTAGAGGAGGTCAAAGAACCTCCTCAACCGCTTGAACGGTTCGTGGCCCTTCTTATCCTTAGCTAGAACAGCCAAGTAAACTGAGAGCGCTGCAGGTCGGGCAACCGCCAGTGTTCGCATCACTTGTGGGGCTGAAGGCCAGCAACGTCTCAACCACAACGGGCCGTGCTACACCCTCTTGTTTGTTATTTCCACACCCTCTTGCCTTAACAAATCTCCAATGGCTGTGAGATGTGGCTGTGAAGTGAAGTCAAAGACATTGATACATTCACCAGCCTGAAAGCAGTGGCCCAAAGGCAGCTTTCTCATGGGGGAGGTTGCACACCCCCGGGGGGTGAGATGGCTCCATGTGGCCCAAGTGGGCGCCAAATGGCAATATGGGGCCGAAGATCTTAAACAAGTACAATCTATGGCTTTTGTTAGTACAATTCGAGTGGGGACCCAAAGCAGGCGTGAACCAAGCATTTAAGCAAGTTGCCCATCCCCTTGTTAGCTTCCTTTGTAACCAAGTAAACATATTTGGGGCTATTTGGCAACCATAGGCATTTGAGCCCCAGCTCCCCCAGTTGAAAACGGACCGATCCCGCGGTGCTTCTCGAGCTGCGACGTTGCAGAGCCACTGGAGGGCCGAGATGGAGACAGCGCCATCGAAAGTGCCCGGCCGGAAGCTTAGGCTTTGCCCTCGGAGCTTAGGCTTTGCCCTCTCGGCCTACTGGGTTACTGGCCACCCTGGCTTCTTGCACCCGACTTTTTGACGGAAACCTGCCGTTGCTTCTGTCTTTGCGAACCTCTGAGGAAGTGCTCATTATTTGATCCCTCGGTACTCCTACGGCTGAGTTGCGGCAGGCCGGGAATATAAGAATTTCCGGCCAGGGATCGCTTCACACAGGTGCTGAAAAACTGGCTCGGGCCTCCTTGGTGGTCCAGGCTCAGCCTCACCCCCTTATTGCAAGCGGCCTGCGTCTGCCAGGAACAGGTCCCCGTCCACCTGGGAAGCAGATCCTCGAACGCTTACCAAACCTACTGTCAAACGCACCCAGCGTCCAGTACTTGCATGTTGGCTGTGAGCGGACGCCCTGCGGCCTGGGTGGAAAGGGGTAAAAACCTGCGCTGCCTTGTCAACACTCTCCAACTGCTGTCCAGCAAAAAAAAAAAAATGCAAGGGCCAACCACAGTCACCACGTCAAATGATCTGATAGGAACCCACTAACTGGGTGTCAACACAGTCACTCACTGCCTCCCTCTTTCTCACACACGGACACATGCCATGTTTGCCTCCGGCCGGGCCTCGCGGCTGCGTGCAATTTTCAGCATGGAGGGGGAAATGTCGTAGCCCACCCAAAGATGCCCAGCCTCGCCTCGGCGCTTTGCCCTGATTGGCAAAAACTCGCGGCACTTCGCCAACTTGGAACACTCCTGGGCATCTGAACTTCTTTTGGGCACCCGAAAAGCCTCACCTGCGCACACTGACCATCACTGACCGCCCAGTTGCTGATCGTCTCTCCACCTGGGACAGGCCCGCCGCCCTTTGGGAAGCCCAAGGGCAACAGATTTGTTTGCCATTGGGTCTGGTCAAGCTCCGGCTTGGGACCAAAAACGTCCCGGAGAGACTACTGGTTGCTGTCAGGTGGAAGGAAAGAAACCGCGTCCAAGAAGCTGATGCCAGATCCGCACCCAACGTCCAGCAGTAGGCACGGTCTGTCCGGAAGCAGCAGGAGTTCCAAAGCGCGCTCGGTCATCCTTGGATTGGCACCCAGCTGTTCTGGACCAGCGCAGTTGTACGAATTACTTGGCGCACCTTTGTCGCTTTGCGGCGCATTAGCAACTGCGCTTGTCATCTCAGGCTCTTCGTTTGGATCTCGATCATGCGGCTGCTCGTGGCATACCTCTCAGACCTTGGATTTTTGAATTGCAGGGCGAATTCTGGCATGCTGCCTTCAAACTAGCCGCTTCAAATGCTTGTTCTGACAAGAGATGACAAGAGGCTCCTCATCATTGTAGAATATCTCCGGGGGAGCCTGTGGGTCAGCGCAAGCCAGGCTCCGGCGCTGGCACCCAGCACAGCCCCACCCGAGGCCGGCGCCTGGTGCTCTGGTCGACTCATTGCACGCCCTGGCGCCCTTCACTGACCACTGGATTGAGCCAATGCCATGCGCCGGGTTTGCAACGGCGAAGCCTGATGAAGCTTGGAGATGGCTTGCACCCTTGAAGCCAACACATTCTTAACCAATGCCTGTTGCCGGTTTGGCCCCAACTTGCAAAACAAGGTTGGTTCAACCACTTGTTCAAACAAAACCAAATTTCTTTGGGACTACTTGGGCAGAGTTCACGGCTTGGAGGCGCCTCCACATGCAGCAGGGCCACGTGCGAGCTCAAGACCAGGCCACGCCTTGGTCTTGCGATTTCGGGAGTCTGGAGGCCCTAGACCTCTGGGTCCCATTCACTCAATCATTCCATGCCATGTCCGTTTCAGAAGCCACCCCATTCCATTCCATGTCCATTTCATGTATGTACGGTCCAGCGTCTTGCCAACTGACAAGAGGCACCTGAATACCCGAACACCCTTGGTTGAAATGCATCCTGCTGAATACCCGAACACCCTTGTTGAAATGCATCCTGCTTCTTGCACCCTACGAGGTCAAGGGAAACTGTACCGAACCTTCCTTTGACGCATGACTTGAAAGCAGCAAAGGCGTCTTTTCAAAAGGGGCGTGCCGAACCGTTCTGCTAGGTGTGTCATGTGGTGCTTTGGGTTAGCCAACTGCTGAGGCCTGCAGCCACAGTTTCACAATCTCAAAAAAACAATCAGTTCTGCAGTTGTTAGTCTCACTCAGACTTGAAAGGTGCCATGAAACTGCTTACACTTGCACTTTTGGTCGCGGCCCAGTTCCACTCTTCCCTCCTGGCACTCCCATGGATCATGGATCTGTTTCCTGCGAAGTGCTCTCCCCGCGCATTGATGCAAGGAGCGGAAGCTGACGCTCAGACTCCTTCACGGCCTGGGCACACTATTGCCGAAATAAGACCAGTGGCATGGCATGTTCCCAGCGTGTCCCTAGAGTGTCTTGTCATCTCCAGCATGTCTCCATCTCAGGATCCCCTTTGCATATTTCGGGTGGACTTTTGGGGTCCACAGACTCCAAATAGACGACCAGGGTGCCCAGCGCTCTTCAGCTCGCCCCGGTAGAAGCGCCAGGAGGGGAAGGACCTAATGGTCCGCTTGGTTTCCTGGGGTGTGAAATGAGTCTGGGAAAAATGCAATCAGAATGTAGCACACATCCCTTGTGGCGTTCCTTTGGGGGAGTCAAGAATATGGCGGAGCAATCTTGCAGCCAGCTCTGGCATATTATTTTCCGAGAGTTAGGGTTAGATTTCATGAAGACACGGCATATCCACAGGCCGCGGCGCAATCTGGGGGTGCATTCGGTACTGCTCGCTCAAGAATTGCATCTGCACCCGGCCCCAAGGTTTCAACACTCCGGCCCCTCAACCTTCCCGCTTGGCAGTGCTGTTTTCGCATTTTGCTTCAGAACGCACGTGTGAGAATCTTTCACGCAAAACAAACGTGAACCTGATTTGGCTTGTCCACGCCCTTGCTTTTCTGTTGGACGTAGAGGCTGCATGCTTGCCGCAACATGCTGCTTTCTCAACAAACGAGCGCCGAGAAACATACATGATTCATGGCATGGCTCTTCAGTGCCCAGTGCCTCCATGCCCATGGACAGAAGTCGGTCAAACATTGAGATGTCCAGACCTCATGTGGTCCCAAAATCCTTGTCGGAGATGCAAAATGAAACATGGATAAACCTCCGGGCTGACTAGTAGAGGGGGTGGCATTTTAGAGCCGATCTGCTGAGTCCGCAGCCGCCTTTCTGTGCCTCCTGGCGGAAGAAGCGAGATCTGCAAATCTCGACCAACTGTAATTGACCTCACTACTAGCCTGGAAACATCGGAACCGCCCAAACAAGATCGAAGGGTGCGTGAAGCCAGCATGTTAGGAAGGAATTGGAGCAAGGGGCGTTGATGGCACTTGAAGCTGCTGGAAGCTGGCACTGCAGTGCTGTCGGCTGCATGCGAATTTGCCTGATTCAGTATCTAAACACGCCATGGGACCTTGCTGGCGACCTTTCGCTGCATGAGAGCAAGCTGGAACTGTGGAAAGAAATCAAGAAGCCAACCAATTGAAGCCGTCAACCCAGGACCCTACCCTGCGCCCTGCGCCTGGGATAACACAGTAGCAGGCAGCTGGCACTGGTCACCCACCTGCGGGCTGGCTTTCCGCGAACAATGAAGCGGCTGACCCTATAAGCAAGCGCTCGCGGCCAACTAAAACATGTCGAAAAACATGTGGCATAATCAGTGCTGATGATGTTTAACCACATGGGCATGGATCTCATGAATACGGGTCATGGTAAAGCTGGGGTGAAAGCGCCTGCTTGCAGGGCAATAAGGTGTGAAACCAGAAACTTGGCTGAGCCCTCCACCAGCACAGCTTGAACAGCTCCCTTCCCAAGAGGAAGGATGACGGCAGGCCTTGGTTTGGCCCCACCCCAAGAAAAAGATAAACAGAATGGCGTCCCTTTAGAACCTGTGAATCAACCCAAAAAAAGGGTAGCCTCACTTTATGCCCCCGTATGACGTGTGCGGGGCCAACTGCGCCCCCTTGAGCAAGTGGACCAGAAAATCACAAATAAGGACATCTTGCCTCCGTTCTTGCACGCGGCACGCCACATCTTTCGAGTCTTATCACGCATCTGTTGCCTCCACACTTGGAAGTAAGTGAGAAAATGATCGAAGGCCATTCGCGGCCTGCTGACTGACATAGTACACCGAAAAGCGCCGCTCCAGCCAAAGCGTGCCAATTGCCATGCACAATGAAAGCCCCATTGTCTCAATGGAGGAAAGCAAAAGAACGTTTTAATCGCACATGATGCATGCGTGATGCGAAACGGCAGAGAACCCAGGTCCTAAGTTCCATGCATGTCCCACGCCTTCTGACATAAGATCTCTCTCTCTACGGTCAATGATGTATGGTGTGGGCATTCTAGCATGTGGCACGCACTCTCGATGATCTTCAGTCGATATCTGGCATATAAACACACGCTTGCTATGACTAGGCTGCGAAACTGGACTTGAGAAGGGGCAGCTCCGCCCCTACAGACCCTTGCCAGACCCAGCGTGGACCAATGGAAACCAAAGTTGAATGGTTGGCTTTGGCCAAAGTTGTGGTAGAGCTGCGACAAGCACCTGGCTCTCAGAGTCTCACAAATTGCCGCAGCCTTGGCTGGAAAGCGGCCCTGTTGTCGAGCGCTCAAAGCCTCTCAAGATTTGATGGCGTGTGCGAGACCACCTTGCGGTGACCCTCACTGAACATCAATCATCAATCAAGCGGGTAGGAAAGGTTGCTGCTCAGTTGATTCATGATGGAGAGGGGAGACCGCACTCCGTCCGGCGCCGCGTTCTTGCGCAGCTTAACTTGCTTGCGGTGAAACTCACTCCGGTAATGGCAAGTTGACACCACGTACACGGCCCATCAATGGTTTCCTTGAAAGATCACAGCACACACACCTTCCATGCTGCGCTTCAATCAAGTAGCGTTTGTGGGCCTTGCGTCCTTGCCCACTGCCCGGTTTGCAAAGTCTATGTACAGGCATTGGCATTGGATGCCATGCTCGCGTGTTGAATCATGCAGGTTCCTCTCTTTCTCTTTCGCTCGCCAGGGCTTCCCTGCCCCCTTTTCAAGGGGAAGATGGGCCTGCGCAGCGAACCGTGAACCCAGCGCATTGGACCAGCTTATTTTCAGGCTGCCCTCTGGCAAGAGCCCAAAGCACCAAGCAATGCAAAGCTGGAAGCAAAGTCCACCGAAATCGCCGATCCAAGGCACTGAGTGCTACAGAGATTCAGGGGCAAGGCCCCTCGCTAAACAGACGGCCATTGCGCTATGCTCTCTCTGGCAACTTCACTGCGGTGCCTGGACAAAGCAGTCGCTGGGCGCAATCTTAGTGCTTCTGTTCGTATGGAGGCTACGATGCACGCACCTTTTCGAACAACGAACCACACATTCCCAGATCAGCCACAATTCGGCCCCAAGCCTTCCCGAGCTGCCGTGGGCAATCCGTGCGAGAATGTGCAGGACTCACCTTGGCAGATCGTCAAAGAGTGCCACAGATGTGAACCGTTCTCAAACGCGGGAGGCTGGCAAACAAAAAACGCCTTCAATCATATCCTTGATGTTAGGCAAATCTGAGAAAATATGGCATGCCCGTTTGCCAAAGCACACAATCGAAAGCCAACCAACACCCCGCCTTTGGTGCACTTGCCCTCCTGCCAGAACTTGCAGAGGGTCGACTTTGCTCCAGAATTGATGCCATTACCTTGGCTCCGCACTGCTCGCGGCAGTGCGGCCGCATACGACAAACGCTGTGCGCTGCACCTCGCACCTGTTCACGCGCCACATTTTTGATGACTCAATTCACTCCGGCCAGGGCATGCCGGTATTTGACTAGCTTGCCACACCAACAAATCGGAAATCGTCCTCGAGCTGTTGGAACCCTCCGGACCCTTTGCATGCGTGTGACCGATGCGTCGGCCCACCCCTCCCTGCGAGCCACGCAGCAAAGATCAGATCTTCTCGAGGCGAAGAGCCGCGCCATCTCTGCGTTGATGGGTTGACCCAGCTCCTCACGCGACTTGACCAAGTCGAAACTCGTCAGCGAGGGGAGGCCCATGCCTACTCCCGGCTGGGGAAGCCAAAAGGTACATGAACGTACTAGTCTTGAGGAGACATGTCCCTTTTTCAGGACACGCTCCGCCCATACACGTTTCTAGGACCGCAAAGAGGCCGACAACGATGCGACCCAGTCCTGGTCCCCGTGGGCGAAGGTGCAGCCGGGGCCCTTGGAGCACTTCCCCTCCTGCCAGAATTTGCAGATGATCTTCTTCCTGGCGCTGCGCGTAGGAGGAAAAAACAAGGTTGAAGTTTAAGGATCTATCGGATGGAGTCATGAAAGCCAATGCCAAACACATCAAGGCTCCACGTGCGGGAGATATCCATCAATGCGGTTGCATGCACTGGGGCAAGATGTGGCCAAATGTCTCACCCAAATGGAGCCCTTCGAGGCGCCAGTCCTAGATACGCTAACGTCATTGCCCTGCTTTGCAGGTGCCCAGCACGAGTCGATGTGGATCGGCTGGCCTATCCTCAGGCTCTCGGGCTGTCGGCTGCGGTTGTGGCAAATTTTGGCGTGTCCGAATGCTGGCTTTCTTTAGCAGTCTCTTGGGCAAGCGTCGGATTTAGGAGGTACCTAGTTTGACACATTCCCGCAGCATCCAGGGGCAATATTACCCAACACAAGAAGCTGCACCAATACTTGACTTCAAGCAGCCTGGCAGGAAGGCAAGCCACATTCCAGCAAGCACTTCTTTGCATGCTGGGCAAATTTAATTTCAAGCAAAAACTGATGCGCTCAAGCAGCTCATGGTCGCCATGCGCGAAAGTGCAGGCATCTCCTTTGGTGCACTTGTTCTCCTGAGGGTCCCAGAACCACATCAAGAGCCCATGTGCGCCAACACGCTAAGCACGATAGTCATGCGCAAAGGTGATGCTTGCTTCGATTTCATCACAGCGCCTCTCTCACCCCACCAAACACCCGCATGTCGCCAACCTGCCAAATCTGGCTGCAGCAACTGCTCCTGCCAGAACTTGCAGAAGGTGCGCTTCACCAGGGTGGTTGCAGGTGGCTCCTCAGCTGCTGTCGGAAGCCCAGCGGTCAGCATACCAGCCCCCTCTGTGCTGTCCGAGCGGCCTCCTTTTGGGAGGGCGAGTCGTCTCGGATGTCCTTGCCCTCCTCAGCCCGCGCGGGCGCCCGTGCTCGCTGCGCGGGTTCAAGCCCGCATTACTTTTGGGATCCGTTTGGATTTCGTGTCGGTGCTTTAGAGGAACTATTTTCTGTTTGGTTCCAACAGGAAGCGCAATGAATTGAAACAAGCAGATTGGGGGGGGGTTCCAATCCCCGGTGTGGAGTTAGGAAGTTTCTGTCGGCACTTTGTGGGCAGCTGCCTCCAAACGGTTGCCTGTTACGTTAAAACCAGAAGTGGAGCTCCTGTCATTGTGACACACGCCCAGTCAGCTAAGGGATCAAGGACAACCAACGGCGCATCAGCAACTAATGAAGAATACAGAGCGGGATGGGCTGCGCGGCAATACTCAGCCTGCCCTCTCCTGTAGAAATGCCTCCGCTGGTGGTGGCAGCGGGGCCAAACAATTCGTCTTGGCAACCTGCGCACGACGCGCACTTCGTCGCACATGTTACTTCATCTGCTGATTTCGAACCTGCCCTCTCTATCCCCTTTGCGATTTGCACGCCATTTCAGCGCATGTTGCTCAAACCGCTCTAGCTTTCTGTATGGTTCCGAAACCCGCCTCGCGCCCATTCCAATTGCCGGTTCTCTCCGGGCTCAGCACGCCTCGGAGCGGCAGCTCGAAAACGACTCCTCACCTGGCTCAAACACCCCTCGCGCAATTTGTGCACCCAAGATGCTGGATTTGACCGGCTCTGCGGTGTCCAGCGACATCATCTGGCATTTAATGGGGAATACCGTCCATTTTGGAGGTGAACATATAGCCGCACGCAAATAACGTCCACGAATGAGTTCCCAAATGAGTCTATCGCAGCGCGCTTTACATGCCCGTGCCTTCACCTGCAGCTTTGGCCTGCGTCTTAGCCTCAGCTGCAACCCTTCATGGCCCAACCCAACCATGCCACATTGCTAGACACGAGGGCGCAAATTGCTCTGTGCCAGCTAAGGTTCTCTTGCTTGATCACCATCTCAAGATCGTCATCATCCAGAAGGGCCAGCGCGGTCACGACCTCATCATGCACAAAACCAGGCGCGCAAAGTGAGGTGAGACACCTGCTCCGTCGCATGCACTGCCCCAAATGTGACCCAAGTTGTGCCTGTGTCAGTGCACGGGTATCCCTTATGACTTGTTCCAGAGGGAAACTACAGGAAAACCACAAATACCTTACTTCCAAATTCCTTTTAGGGACAAGCCAACAAGACCTCCCCCCGGCCGTCCAGCTCCCGTCCAGTTGCTGTCTGTCGAGGATTGGCAACCGGCGGAGGCGGCGGTGGTGAGGGCGGTGGCGGAGAGCGCGGCGCGTTCAGCACACCTTCGCGCAGTTTCAGTGACATAGACCAGGATGAAAGTTGGCAAGATGCCCTGAATGCAAGCAAAGGGGATGACTGAACCCAAATTTGGCAGTTCCACCCATCTGCTTTCACCCAGCTGTTTTTTGTTTTTTTTTGTAAGCCCTAAATGGAAAGTAGATGAAAGTAGTGTTAAAGCTTGATGTTGAAAGCTAGCATAAACAGCTGTCTCCTTAATCAGCAAAACCAACAAGGCTGAAAGCAAGTCCAAACTTAACATAGTATTCCATTATTTGCATTCGGGTTCCTAGGCCAAGCTCCTTAAACAAAGGCCCAAAAATCACCTGGGCTTCAGTGATGCGCTGGCAACTACCTGTGTTGTCTGTTCAAATGGGAAAGGCACACCTCCCAAACTGGCAGCATGGGATCCAGAGCAAACAATGCCTTGGCCCTTACCTTTTGCATCTCTTGAACATGCCCCCGTGCGAGCTTGCGAGGGATGAGATTGGCCAAGTGGCAACTCTTGGGAAACCAGCCCTTCTGGCCATTTGAGCTTCCAAACAGCCAATCCGGTTCAGCACTGCCTCCTGTGGGTCTCACATGCATTCACAGCAGTCGCACGCCAAAAGAATGCACTCAGCAAAGCTGCGCAAAATTCTGGTCGCGCGCAAACACATGCGTCCTATGAAGTCGATGGTTACTTCTTGACCGGGCCTCAGCTGGCGCTCGAGGACCCGGCATCCTTCAACATGGAGTAACGTCCAATTCAGCTGGCCAACAGCTCGCGGCTAGTGCCACGGAGTCGCTTCAAGGAGAGGTATCCAGCCGCCGGCGCGGTGTACCTGCAGGTGCTGGGGGCGTATGTCCAAACAACACCTAACATGGACCCCAGAGTCGCTCATTTGTGGGATCTCCTGCGCAACGCTTTTGGGGTTGACGGTTGAATATATTTTTCCAAGAATGAAGTTGGGTACAAGCCAGACAGGTCACGGCTGAAGAGCAGGAAGACGATTGCCCAGGCTGAGTGCCATCGCACTCGACACTTCTACATTGCCAGCGCTAATGCGTAACGAGTTCGAATTGAGTCGGCTCTCCCTCGCTGGTCTGCCTGCGAGTGCATCTGACATTCAGGGCGAACAGGTTTGGGTCTCGGGTTGCCCTGGGGCATCTGACTGCAACTGCCGCGCAACTGCCCGCAGCCTGATTGATGTGCCCAGAAACCAATTGTTATCATACGGACATTGGCCGTCTGAGCCGGTCAAGGCTCTGGAAATGATACTGAATGCTTATACTGCCAGCATCAGTGGGTGCAGACTTCCCATCATGCCGCAGTCTCACTCCACAATCGCTGGAGGAGGCCAAACTGAGCAGAATGGTGGGCTGAGGCCCAGGCTCGATCACTTGCGCGGCTTCGTCAATGACGATCTGGCAGCTTGCCATCACGCCCCTCTGGACTCCTGACCCCTTGAGTTTCCTTCTGTCCACTGTCTCTCATGCTGGTGCTGCTGAGGTACAGGCGAAGGGGAACTTGATCCGATCAAGCGGCCCCATGCCGCATCCAATGCAAGTGGCACACACCACCTCAGCAAGCTGGCTGGCCGATTGGTATGTCCCAGCTTTATTGGCTGCTCAGGATAAGTCGCTTATTGCTGTGTCACATCCTAAAAACAACTCCTCTCCGTACTCTCCGCACGCGGACATTTTTGAGCTCCACTCTGACCGCACATCTCGAGCCATCTACATCAGCTCCATGTCTGGTGACGTCGTGGGGCCCGCTGGCTCATTGGGTGGCCATCTTGCCTTCTGCACTTTCATGCAGCGCCCTGAGCCATCACAGCTGCTCGCTCAAGTTCGTGGCCGCGTCTTGGCGCTTTCACGCTGGGGGCAAAGGAAGCGACATTGCCCGTTTCCAGCTGCCAACCGCCTCAGCACCGCACCGTACGACCTTACTTCACAGCTTGGAGCCACTGGAAGACTTGGGTCGCCAGCTCGGCCTCCTCTAAGCGCTTGTCGGGGTGCCATTCCAGGAAGAGCTGTCGCAGGAGCCGGGGCTTGTCCTGGCAAGGATCCCTTTGAGGAAGGAGCATGTGTGGCACATGTGGAAAACCCCGAGCTGACCTTAGTGGGCCCTCATATCCCTCGCGTCCTGGACCCCTTGCGCTAGGAGCCGCTGCTTGAGCGCTGCGATGGCGCCGTTCAGCTCCGTGCTTGACTCATCGTGGGGAGGAAATTGCCAAGGCGAGCACGCAGGTTGCACTGGTTCCGGGGCTGGCGCCGGCGGCGGTGCCGGCTTCATCTTCGGCTTGGCAGGCGCTGGGCCATAGTTGGGACCATAGTTCGTACTTCCAGTGGCGAATTCCGCGCCGATGTTGTCAATATCGCCATCCGGAAAGTGCTCCTTCCACTTGAGGAAGGGGTTTTCGCGCTCGGCTAGTGGTAACGTCTCTGCAGACTTGCCGCCCCGGGCGAGCAACTGCCGCACCATGCGTTTGGCACCTTTATCTTGGCCTGCCCGCACCAAAACCTGTCCCACATCCAGGGCTGTGTATGTCTTGTAGGCGGCTGACAGCGACCACTCGCAACACACCGCGTTCACGTCCACCCAAAGGTGACTGACAAGGAAGTCGAAAATCTCCTGCGGTCAAAATCTTCCCAACCCGGAGTGCTGGTGTCCTCGTGTTTGCGATGTCCTTATCAGAGGACTTCTCACCTCTTTCAAGCCCCGATTTGAGGCCCTTGGCTGAAAACCCAGGCAAACCCAAACACCTCGGCTTCTTGACACGGGCGCAGGCATCACGGGCGCGGTCCCACGTACCTGCCCCCTTGAAGGCTGATGGCCATCCCCATTGCGCCCGGGAGTTGAAAGCGCCGCAGCAACACATCCAAATCAGAACACAGCCGTGGGGCACGTGGCTTTGTTGCGTGCCTGCACGTTTGAATCAGGGTTCCCCATATTTCCTCTTGAAACATCGCCCCTACCCAAGGAAACTCACTTGACTCGGGCCCAAAAGGCAAGCTTATAACAACTATAAGGAGAAATATACGGCTGCTTGTGAAACCCACAGCCCTGAGCAAGCAATGCCAAATCCCGAGACTCCTTGTGACCCTCCTCCAAAGCCGCCATGAGGGCAGTCTTCTCCTCGATGAAATAAAAACGTGAGCGAGCTTCTCGCAGGAAGTCCAGCCTGACAGGGACGCCGCCGCCAACCCGAAGACAAAATGCTTGAAACAACCACCGAACACAGGAAAAAAGGTGGCTGTTGCGCCGGAGCTTGAGATTTTTGGTGAAATCCCATGCACCTGTCCGGGACGATCGTGTTGGGATTCGACCTTGTCGCTGCAGGGAGTAAAGGAAAAGCACAGATCCAGAGCCACGAAAGCCTAACAGTTTCCCCGTCATCAGGGGCGCTTCGTTCGACCGATCCTGACAAAACCTTCCTCTCCTGTCCTGGACCTACTTGGAATGCCCGGTTTGTTATAACTAGTTACCATAGTTATGTTAATTAACTAAAAGTTAATAACAAGTTAACCGAGTTAGCCAACTAGTTATAACTATGATTTTTTTATAGAATATCAGCACACGAAATTGCAGCCAAAAGCACATTGGGAATTTGAGAAACATAAACAGTTTCTGGAAAATGAGAATATGAAAATGCTACCGTGGATGCCTGGTGTACAGCTGTGGGCCGAAGGAAAAGTCTCAGCTACTATGAAATGGACTGCCAAATCAACATTGCACGCATGGCTCAGCGCAGGAAAATGTTTTCCTCGATCAGGCATAATACATTTGATAGGGCAGCAGCACTTTGGCTTCGGTGGTGCTTCGGTTGATATACACCAGTGGAAACAGGATGGCGTCTGTCTGAATGAGGCCTTGGAGATCAGAGGTCTGGACAGTGGCCACTCGCGTGGCAGGCTGCCAGTCCACGACTCGCCACACTCGCACCAAAGTGGCCATGGTGCCAGGTGTCTGCAAGTGGAACTGGATCTCAGCGATCTGGCACTGGTCGTCCTGGCGATAAGCAATGGCATCCTTGCTGTGGCAGCGAGCTCCTGTGGGCAAAACAGCACAGCTGGCGACAGCTGCAGATGATGGCGGTCGGCTGAAGAACTGGCTGATGACTCTCAGTTCTTCTTTCTTGGCTGCTCTGGGTTTCAAACACTGCACAGTGGATGGAAACAAATCTGGTTCCTGGAGTGTCAATAGTTCATGTGGTAAAACTTGCTGGAGCAGCAGCTTCTCGAAGTCCTGGGTCTTGGAGAGCCTGGTGGCCACTGCTGATATGGACTTGTGTTTCCTTTCAGCAGTGAAACAGTTGGGGATGTGCCTAGTCGCTGGTACACATCTGGGATGTGCAGGATCCAGTGCCACTTCTTGATCAAAGGGCACGGGAACTCCCTGGATGCAAGTCTGGATGGCAGTTTCAGCTGCTCTGAGGAGTGTGGCTTTGGAAACCAGCTTCCACTGGGCACCTGCATGGACCTGGTCGATGAGGTCTGCCATGGCCACAAAAGCTGAGCATGACTCCACGAGGCATGACCACTGTGCGAATGAAGTGGCAAGAGCGCCAGGCACTTGCTAGCAGTGCAGCTGAACTTGCGGCTCTTCTTGTACTTGGCCACTCTTTTGGCCTGGAACAAGTATGGCAGTGTGGTCTTGCCTCCTTGGGCTTGTGGCACTGCTGGAGCCATTGCTCGAGGAAAACCCATGGGTCGAAATTGGCAGTGCTGATGGCCTGCAGTGTGTGGTGCAGCACAACTGGCGCCACTCCTTGGCAAATGCCATGCATGTAATCATGGACAAATTGTGTCACTGGCTGCAGCAAGCCCCTGGCTGCCAATGGTTCGCAAAGCAGCAAGGCATGCGGCGAGTATGTGAGGCCAGTTGCTTGCTGCCACCTGGCGAATTCAGCTTTGCTGCAAGGGAAGCTCCTCGTTGGTGACCAGTCTCAAATTGTCGTACTTGCAGCAGCCGGTCTCGATGTGGGCTTCCTCATTATCCTCTTGTTCGTGGTTGTCTGGCTGGCTGGCTGCCAATCTGGCATGGGCGCACAGCAGACAGAACTTGGATCCCGAGTCCTTGGCACTCCACACCTGCTTGTCACCGACTGTCCGGCACAGCTCAGCCGCTCCCCAATGGGGCCACCGTACCGTTTCCGGTACGGCTGATAACCCGCCGCCGGGAATAAAGATGGTAACGAAGACCCTCTTCTCCCCGTGGTAAAGAAAAGTGTAGCCCTGAACTCACAGCTCCTCTGGTTCGAGCTGAACTGTAGGAAGCACCCGACAGGAAGCGCGCGTTCAGCTTTCCATGGCTTGTCGACGCAGAGTCGATAGTCTTAGCCACGTTCGTGGCTTGAGCCAAACAGCGTTCCGTTTGGCAGCATGTCTTACCTATTGAGGTCCTCCAGACTCTACCAGTTGGAAACAAGGGCGCTGTTTCGGGGACCAACACGTAACCAAAGACAAGCCCCTCAGAGGCACACGTGAATGGTTCAGAATTGGGACTCACTCAGCATAGACAGACACACACACACATTCAGAGAGAGAGAGAGGGAAGAGAGAGCGACGAACAGAGGGAGCAAAGATACACACAGAAACACACACGTTTGAAAAAGACACACGCACACACAGAAAGGGCTGAGCAAAGATACACACATAAAACGAGACACGCAAAGAAGAAAGACACACAGACACACACACACAGAGAGGAAAACTGGACTGAAAAGAAACGCTAGCAGCGACAAACGGGGAGTCACACAGACGGACTGACGGACGGACGGACAGGCAGACAGCCAGACAGACAGACGCACACACACAAACAGACACACACGCGCAAAGACACACAAAGACACACACGCGCACACACACACACACACGCGCGCACACACACACACACGCACGCGCACACTCTCACACACACACACACACACACACACACACACACACACACACACACACACACACACACACACACACACACACACACACACACACACACACACACACACACACACACACACACACACACACACACACACACACACACACACACACACACACACACACACACACACACACACACACACACACACACACACACACACACACACACACACACACACACACACAGGCGCACACACGCACACACACAACACACACACACACACACACACACACACACACACACACACACACACACACACACACACACACACACACACACACACACACACACACACACACACACACACACACACGTGCGCGAGGCACACACACAGAGATGCGCACACACACACACACAGGCGCATACACAGCACGCACACACACACACACAGACACACACACACACACACACACACACGCACAAACACAGACAGCGATGCACACAGTCACACACACACACACGCACAGACAGAGATACACTCACAGGAAGACACACACACACATGGAGCGACCCAAACAACCACAAACAGGCGCACACACAGACACAGAGAAACACAGGAAAAAAACAAAGCGACGCGCGCAAACACGCACGTGCGCACCGAGCTTCCTCGCCTGTCCTTCTGGGATGTAAGAGA